TCCATCGATGTGATAGGTCCCTTTTCTTTCTCTTTATGATTCCTTATGATAATAAATGACCTACTTAACTCAGTGGTTAGAGTATTGCTTTCATACGGCGGGAGTCATTGGTTCAAATCCAATAGTAGGTAGAACTTATTAGATACCATTGATCCCGGTGTCTAATAAGTTTTTCTACCCACCTTCTTTTATTGATTTTCTATCTTTTTCATCCTATTCTATTTCCGTTTTCAATTTTCAAATTTTTCGTTAGATCAAATTTCACTATTTCACTTTTGATTGTATTTGATTCTATTTAATCAGCAGAATAAAAATGGGATGTAGAAACGAAAGTTCTGTTTATACGGAAATTCTTTCGATTAACCAACTAGTTACGAAATCGCGTTGATAGCCTTTACTCGTGTCCTAGCCCATCTGAGAGCTAGATTTGCCTCAATTGTTTGCCTCTTGCCTTCAGCTTTCCTCAAGTTAGCTTCCGCTATTTCAAGAGCTTGCTGAGCTTCTTGTGGATCAATGTCACTACCCTTTTCCGCATCCTTTCCAAAAATAGTGATTTCATTATTGACTATTCTAGCAAAACCACCCATCAGAGCCATCGTTAACCATTGGTCGTTAAGGCGTATTCTCAAAATACCTATATCTACAACTGTGGCAATAGGCGCGTGATTTGGTAATACGCCAATTTGTCCGCTATTAGTAGATAAAATGATTTCTTTCACTTCTGAATCCCAAACAATTCGATTATGGGTGAGTACGCAAAGATTTAAGGTCATTTATTCAATTTGCTCTCCATTTCTAAGTTCGTAGCCTTCGCAGTAGCTTCATCGATGTTACCTACCAAATAAAAGGCCTGTTCAGGAAGACCGTCTAATTCTCCGGAAAGGATCAATTGAAATCCTCTAATTGTTTCTGCTAGGCCAACATATTTCCCCGGGGAACCAGTAAATACTTCCGCTACGAAAAAGGGTTGTGATAAGAAACGCTCAATTTTTCGCGCTCTTGCTACGGTTAAGCGATCCTCTTCGGACACTTCGTCCAACCCCAGGATAGCTATAATGTCCTGAAGTTCTTTGTAACGTTGTAAGGTTTGCTTAACCCTTTGCGCAGTTTCATAATGTTCCTTTCCAACGATTCGAGGTTGGAGCATAGTTGACGTTGAGTCTAAAGGATCTACCGCTGGATAGATACCTTTGGCAGCTAATCCTCTTGATAGTACGGTAGTAGCATCTAAATGCGCAAATGTTGTGGCAGGGGCAGGGTCGGTCAAATCATCCGCGGGTACATAAACTGCTTGAATAGAAGTTATGGATCCCTCCTTGGTAGAAGTAATTCTTTCTTGTAAAGAACCCATTTCGGTACTAAGGGTGGGTTGATAACCCACAGCGGAAGGCATTCTACCCAATAAGGCAGATACTTCGGATCCCGCTTGGACAAAACGGAAGATATTGTCTATAAATAGAAGTACGTTTTGTTTATTAACATCTCGGAAATATTCCGCCATAGTTAGGGCAGTCAACCCAACTCTCATACGAGCTCCTGGCGGTTCATTCATCTGACCGTAGACTAAAGCCACTTTTGATTCCGCAAGATTTTGTTCATTAATTACTCCAGATTCTTTCATTTCCATGTAAAGATCATTTCCTTCACGAGTACGTTCACCTACTCCGCCAAATACGGATACACCCCCATGAGCTTTGGCAATGTTGTTGATCAATTCCATAATGAGTACTGTTTTACCTACCCCAGCTCCCCCAAATAGTCCGATTTTTCCTCCACGACGATAAGGAGCTAAAAGATCGACTACTTTAATTCCTGTTTCAAAAATAGATAATTTTGTATCTAATTGTATGAAAGCGGGCGCAGGTTTATGAATAGGGGATGTTGTGCGAGTATCTACAGGACCTAAATTATCAACGGGCTCCCCAAGCACGTTAAAAATTCGTCCTAGGGTCGCTCCGCCGACTGGAACACTTAGAGGAGCTCCCGTGTTAATCACTTCCATTCCTCTCATTAGACCATCTGTAGCGCTCATAGCTACAGCTCTAACTCGATTGTTTCCTAATAATTGCTGTACCTCACAAGTTACATTAATTTGTTGACCGATGGTATCTCGACCCTTAACTACCAAAGCGTTGTAAATATTAGGCATCTTGCCCGGGGGAAAGGCTACATCCAGTACTGGACCGATGATTTGAGAAATACGTCCCAGATTTTCTTTTTCAAGCGTGGAAACTCCAGGAACAGAAGTAGTAGGATTTATTCTCATAATAAAATAAAGTGAAATATGTCAATTTTTTTTTTCGAAAATTTTCTAATAAAAAAAATCTTCGACAGCAAGTTGATCGGTTAATTCAATAAGAAATGGGGATTAGCACTCGATTTCGTTGGTACCATCCAATTGAATGCAATTCAATTGGATTGTTTCCTTATTCAATGAAGGAATTTTTAAGTTCAACCAACCTATTTGCAAAATATCAAGTGGATAAATAAATAACAATTTTGAGAGAGTCTTTCATTTGTCTATCATTGTCTTTCATTTGTCTATCATTATAGGCAATACCATCCATATTATCTATGGAATTCGAACCCGAACTCTATTTACGATTCCTTATTTCTATCTCATTAGCCCTTATTTCATTTCGTATTTTATTTTAGCATATCGATTTTTTTTACGTCCAACCTATCCCCCCTTTTTCCATCTATATTCCTTTTTTTTCATTTCATAAACGAATTACGCATATTTTCACATCTAGGATTTACATATACAACATATATTACTGTCAAGAGTGAATTTCTTATTCTTTCTTATTTCTTATTATTGAATTTATATATTTCTTATTTTATATTATTTCTTATTATCTTATTATCTTATTATTGATTATTATTGACTATTGACTTATTATTGAATTTATATTATTATAGTATTATCTTATTATTGACTATTGACTTATTATTGAATTTATATATTTTATATTTAATTTATATATTTTATATATATTTTATATTTATAATTCTAATTATAATTATATATTTATAATATTTCTATTTCATTTATTTCATTTTCATTTCGATTCAAAAAAAAAGTAAGGAATTCTAAACTTGAAAAACACGGATTGGGTTGCGCCATACATATGAAAGAATATAGAATATGAAAGAATATAGAATAATGATGTATTTGGCGAATCAAATACCATGGTCTAATAAGGAACCTTTCGGATTAGTTGATAATTTTTTGAAAGATTCTTCGAAAAGTTTCATTAACTCCTAATTTATGCCGAGCAGACCTTGTTGTTGCGAAAATTTTCAATTCATGAGTTGTAGGGAGGGGCTTATGTCACCACAAACAGAGACTAAAGCAAGTGTTGGATTCAAAGCTGGTGTTAAAGAGTATAAATTGACTTATTATACTCCTGAATATGAAGTCAAAGATACTGATATCTTGGCAGCCTTCCGAGTAACTCCTCAACCCGGAGTTCCGCCCGAGGAAGCAGGGGCAGCAGTAGCTGCTGAATCTTCTACTGGTACATGGACAACCGTGTGGACCGATGGGCTTACCAGCCTTGATCGTTACAAAGGGCGATGCTACCACATTGAGCCCGTTGCTGGAGAAGAAAATCAATATATATGTTATGTAGCTTACCCCTTAGACCTTTTTGAAGAAGGTTCTGTTACTAACATGTTTACTTCCATTGTGGGTAATGTATTTGGGTTCAAAGCCCTGCGCGCTCTACGTCTAGAGGATCTGCGAATCCCTCCTTCTTATACTAAAACTTTCCAAGGCCCGCCTCATGGCATCCAGGTTGAAAGAGATAAATTGAACAAGTACGGTCGCCCCCTATTAGGATGTACTATTAAACCTAAATTGGGGTTATCCGCTAAGAACTACGGTAGAGCAGTTTATGAATGTCTACGTGGTGGACTTGATTTTACCAAAGATGATGAGAATGTGAACTCCCAACCATTTATGCGTTGGAGAGACCGTTTCTTATTTTGTGCCGAAGCAATTTTTAAAGCACAGGCTGAAACAGGTGAAATCAAAGGGCATTACTTGAATGCTACTGCGGGTACATGTGAAGAAATGATTAAAAGGGCCATATTTGCCAGAGAATTGGGAGCTCCCATCGTAATGCATGACTACTTAACAGGTGGGTTCACTGCAAATACTAGCTTGGCTCATTATTGCCGAGATAATGGTCTACTTCTTCACATCCATCGCGCAATGCACGCAGTTATTGATAGACAGAAGAATCATGGTATGCACTTTCGTGTACTAGCTAAAGCTTTACGTCTGTCTGGTGGAGATCATATTCACGCTGGTACAGTAGTAGGTAAACTTGAAGGAGAAAGGGACATAACTTTGGGCTTTGTTGATTTACTACGTGATGATTTTATTGAAAAAGATCGAAGCCGTGGTATTTATTTCACTCAAGATTGGGTTTCTATACCAGGTGTTCTGCCCGTAGCTTCGGGGGGTATTCACGTTTGGCATATGCCTGCTTTGACCGAGATCTTTGGAGATGATTCCGTACTACAATTCGGTGGAGGAACTTTAGGACACCCTTGGGGAAATGCACCGGGTGCCGTAGCTAATCGAGTAGCTTTAGAAGCATGTGTAAAAGCTCGTAATGAGGGACGTGACCTTGCCCGCCAGGGTAATGAAATTATCCGCGAGGCTGGCAAATGGAGTATGGAACTAGCTGCTGCTTGTGAAGTATGGAAGGAGATCAAATTTGAATTCGAAGCAATGGATACTTTAGATAAATAAAATTTGAATTCGAAGCAATGGATACTTTGTAATCCAGTAATTACTGTTGGTTTGTTGAATTGCAATTAAACTCGGCCCAATCTTTTACTAAAAGGATTGAGCCGATCCTAAAGATTGGTGTATTCTTTTCTATCCTATTCGTTCCGTGTTGGAATAGAAACTTATTGTATTAGTAGACGAGATTTTATTGTATTAGTAGACGATATTTTACGAAAAAGGTTCTTGATAGGAGAAAAATTTCTTTTTTCAATTTTTTCAGTGCGAATTTTACACAACATAGGGAAATCGCTATTTCTAATTGAAAATTTATATTTATAATTGAAAAGAAAAAAGTAAAGTATCATATATCATATATAATGAACTGATACTCCAGGTTCTCACAAACGAGAATCCTTTACTTCAATATTCACTCATTATTAGTTTAATGATTGTATCCATTATGCGTATTCCGATAGGAAATAAATGATTTTTTTTTTTTCATCAAATGACTATTCATCTATTATACTTTACATCTAAATAGAGGCAAGAAAACTCTATGGAAAAATTATGGTTCAATTTTATCTTGTCTAAGGGGGAATTAGAATACAGATGTGGGCTAAGTAAATCAATGGATAGCCTTGGTCCTATTGAAAATACTAGTGTAAACGAAGACCCGGTTAGAAATGATATGGATAAAAACATTCATGGTTGTAGTGACAGCTCTAGTTATTACAGTAAGGTTGATCATTTAGTTGGCGTCAAAGACATTCGGAATTTCATTTCTGATGACACCCGAATTAGGGTTTTAATTAGGGATAGTAATCAGGATAATGATAGTAATCAGGATAATTATTCTCTATATTTTAATAGTGAAAATCAAATTTTTGAGATTGACAATGACGATCCCCACTATGATTTTAACTTGTATGATACTAACTATAGTTGGAATAATCACATTAAGAGTTGTATTAACTCTTATCTTCGTTCTCAAACCTGTATTGATAGTTCCATTTTAAGTGGTAGTGACAATTACAATGATAGTTATATTTATAATTGCATTTGTGGTTACATTTGTGTTGAAGGTGGAAATAGTAGTGAAGACAATGGTTTAACTCTAAAAGAAAGTTGCGCAAATGGTAATGATTTAACTCTAAAAGAAAGTTGCGCAAATGGTAATGATTTAACTCTAAAAGAAAGTTGCGCAAATGGTAATGATTTAACTCTAAAAGAAAGTTGCGCAAATGGTAATGATTTAACTCTAAAAGAAAGTTGCGCAAATGGTAATGATTTAACTCTAAAAGAAAGTTGCGCAAATGGTAATGATTTAGAAAGGCCTAAAGATTTCAAGCATTTGTGGGTTCTATGCGAAAATGAAGATTGTTATGGATTAAATTATAAGAAATTTCTTAAGCCAAAAATGAATATTTGTGAATACTGTGGATATCATTTGAAAATGAGTAGTTCAGATAGAATCGAACTTTCGATTGATCCAGGTACTTGGGATCCTATGGATGAAGACATGATCTCTCTGGATCCCATTGAATTTCAGTATGACGAAGATGGTATTGATTATGATCCATTTCAGTCTGACGAAGATGGTATTGATTATGATCCATTTCAGTCTGACGAAGATGGTTCTGACGAAGCTGACGAAGATGGTTCTGACGAAGCTGACGAAGATGGTTCTGACGAAGCTGACGAAGATGGTTCTGACGAAGCTGACGAAGATGGTTCTGACGAAGCTGACGAAGATGGTTCTGACGAAGCTGACGAAGATGGTTCTGACGAAGCTGACGAAGATGGTTCTGACGAAGATGGTATTGATTATGATCCATTTCAGTCTGACCAAGAAGAGCCTTATATGGATGGTATTGATTCTGATCCATTTCAGTATGACGAAGATAAAGTTCAGTATGACGAAGATAAAGTTCAGTATGACAAAGATAAAGTTCAGTTTGACAAAGATAAAGTTCAGTATGACAAAGATAAAGTTCAGTTTAACAAAGATAAAGATGGTATTAATTATGATCCATTTCAGTTTAACAAAGATAAAGATGGTCTTGATTCTGATCCATTTCAGTATGACGAAGATAAAGTTCAGTATGACGAAGATAAAGTTCAGTATGACAAAGATAAAGTTCAGTTTGACGAAGATAAAGATGGTATTGATTCTGATCCATTTCAGTATGACGAAGATAAAGTTCAGTATGACAAAGATAAAGTTCAGTTTGACAAAGATAAAGTTCAGTTTGACAAAGATAAAGTTCAGTTTGACAAAGATAAAGATAAAGATGGTATTGATTATGATCCATTTCAGTTTGACAAAGATAAAGATGGTATTGATTCTGATCCATTTCAGTATGACGAAGATGGTATTGATTCTTATCCGTTTGAGTATGACGAAGATGGTATTGATTCTGATCCGTTTGAGTATGACGAAGAGCCCTATAAAGATCGTCTTGATTCTTATCAAAGAGAGACAGGATTAACTGAGGCTATTCAAACAGGTACGGGTCAACTAAACGGTATTCCTATAGCAATCGGGGTTATGGATTTTCAGTTTATGGGGGGTAGTATGGGATCCGCAGTAGGCGAGAAAATCACCCGTTTGATCGAATATGCTACCAATAATTTTTTGCCTCTTATTCTAGTGTGTGCTTCCGGAGGAGCACGCATGCAAGAAGGAAGTTTGAGCTTGATGCAAATGGCTAAAATATCTTCTGCTTTATATGATTATCAATCAAATAAAAAGTTATTTTATGTATCAATTCTTACATCTCCTACTACTGGTGGAGTGACCGCGAGTTTTGGTATGTTGGGGGATATCATTATTGCTGAACCCAATGCCTATATTGCATTTGCGGGTAAAAGAGTAATTGAGCAAACATTGAATATAACAGTACCTGAAGGTTCACAGGAGGCTGAATATTTATTCCATAAGGGTTTATTCGATCCAATCGTACCACGTAATCCTTTAAAGGGTGTTCTGAGTGAGTTATTTCAGTTCCACGGTTTTTTTCCTTTGAATCAAAATTCAATCAAGTAGAGTCTTAAGTTAAATTATTTTCTTTGTAGTGAAAAGGCAGTTAGTTAGTTTATCAGAATCAAAGTCAAAGCCCGCATAATGGGCTTTGACTTTGTGACATAAAATGGAATTGTCGAAAAACGAATTTTATCTTGCTCTATTGCGTATGTTTATATAATTCAAATATAGAAAAAATATAAATATAGAGTTTTGCATCTTTCTATATCTCCCGAGAATTCTATTTTTACTAAAAATCCCTGTTCTTGGATCGGATTCTAACGAATCGAATCTTTCGACAATTTGTAATAAACTCTTTCTCAATTTGTAATAAACTCTTTCTTTATTAAATTCAAATTAGAAATTAAAATTAGAAGACAAGAACAATAGAATAATAATAATAAGAAAAGTAGGAATAAAGTAAGATAATAAAGAAAGTGGATTATCTTATCATACACCTATTTTATTTCATTTAGAAAGATGGGCAAGTCCCTTTATTTAATTCTACATTCCTTGCACTTATTAGATAAGATATATATATTAGATATATATACTCGCTTAGATATACTTAGTATTTAGATATACTTAGTATTTAATATACTTAGTATAATATTTAGATATACTTAGTATTTCGATATACTTAGTATAATATTTAGATATACTTAGTATAATATACGAAATTATAATATAATTATTATTATTATAAGATATATTTATAACTAACTTTATAACTAACAATATAACAATAACAGGTACGAATATTAAATTGAGGTACCCATTTTATGACAATTCCCTCTATTTTTGTGCCTTTAGTAGGCCTAGTATTTCCGGCAATTGCAATGGCTTCTTTATCTTTGTATGTTCAAAAACTAAGATTTTTTAGATTCGATGGGGCCAAGGCCAAGACCAAATCTTATCTATTTTTTTTTTTCACGACTTAGATGCCACGGATATCTATTTAGTAGAATATTGTATAACATCCATCCGGCTTCCCCGAACATAAATGAAAAAGCTCCTCTTATGCATACGTAAACATGATATAGGGGTAAATGAATTATAGCAAGTGGATCGGTACCGGACGAATGTATGAAATTAAAGTCTATATATCTAGTAGATCTGTATAGGGGATCATATAAAGGGGATGATTTTAGATCTAAGCAATTTGATGAATTACTTCTAAAAGTTCATATCAAAATAGCACTAGTTGATGAGAGTTACTTCGGAAACAAAAAAAGTAAAGTCAAATTTTTTTGCTTATTTTCTCAATTCCAATAAAATGCAACTGGATCTAGTATGTATGAGTTGGCGATCAGAATCTATATGGATAGAATTTATAGTGGGGTCTCGAAAAACAAGCAATTTCTGCTGGGCCTTTATTCTTTTTTTTGGTTCATTAGGGTTTTTATTAGTTGGAACTTCTAGTTATCTTGGTAGGAATTTGATATCTTTATTTCCGTCTCAGCAAATAGTTTTTTTTCCACAAGGAATCGTGATGTCTTTCTATGGGATCGCGGGTCTCTTTATTAGTTCCTATTTTGTGGTGCACGATTTTTTGGAATGTAGGTAGTGGTTATGATCGATTCGATAGAAAAGAGGAATAGTATGTATTTTCGTTTGGGGTTTTCCTGGAAAAAATCGTTCGCATCTTTCTACGATTCCTTATGAAAGATATTCAGTCCATCAGAATAGAAGTTAAAGAGGGTATTTATGCTCGGCGTGTCCTTATATGGAAATCAGAGGCCAGGGGCCGTTCCCTTGACTTCGTACTGATGAGAATTTGACTCCACGAGAAATTGAGCAAAAAGCTGCTGAATTGGCCTATTTTTTGCGTGTACGATGAAGTCTTTTGAAATGAATTGCAGAATAAATGCTTTCTCGGCAGGAGGAAAAAAACTCAAGACAAGAAGCCTCTTTTTTCTATAGCAGAACTAAACTGAAGTTTCTTAAGAATGCCACTCGAACCAAGAAGACGTATACGGAAGAGTCATAACATAAAACAAAACTGTTTTTTTTTTTTTGTCCACAAAAATTGTTTTTTATGCGTCTGTAAATGTAAAACCACTCAAACTTAATTCAGTAACAAACAAGCAAGAAATCGAAATAATGGATTCATCTCATATATCAAAGTATTTTCGAAATATTTAACTTTTTATTTTCAATATTTGGAGTTGATACGTTAGATACAGATAGATTATATCTTGTAAATTTTCTCTACTTTCCTTTTGTCAATCAGCCCCTCCCCTTTTATCCTTTCTTTTGTGCTCCTTAAGAACTAAACAAGTAGATTTCTTTCTTATAACATAATGATAAATGTAATGATAACTTTCTGTCTTTTTTTGTCACTCATTTTTGATCATCATAATATTTTTCATAATTTTTTTTTTTCAATTATTCCCGGACTCTAGACTATATACAGTCTAGATAACCCGCGAAAATTTTTCGACATATTTGATTGATATCTTGATATAGACAGGGAGCTCCTTCGTCTCAAAATCTGAATAGAATAATCTTTATTATTTGAAGCGGTTCTTTCGGGCAGTTATCGAAAGAGGGCAATTGCTTCGAATTTGATCAATTGAGATATCTGGAAACAATAATATATATATATATTTCATTCGAACATTCGAATTCAAAGTGGATTCTTATTTTCTATTTCTGTACTCTTTTTAGATTCAAGGACTAAGCACTGAATCAAAAAAAAAAAAAACAGAGAATAGATTCATGGGCCCCTACCTTATAATTTATCTTATAATTTATAATATAATGAAAGTCATGCTTGATAGAAAGATTAGATCACATAAAGTCAACGAATGAGGTGGGTTCATTAACAATTCACAGATGAAAAAATGGCAAAAAAGAAAGCATTCACTCCCCTTCTATATTTTGCATCTATAGTATTTTTGCCCTGGTGGATCTCTCTCTCATTTAATAAAAGTCTGAAATCTTGGATTACTAATTGGTGGAATACTAGGCAATCCGAAACTTTTTTGAATGATATTCAAGAAAAAAGTATTCTAGAACAATTCATAGAAGTAGAGGAACTCCTCCTGTTGGACGAAATGATAAAAGAATACCCGGAAACACATCTACAAAAACTTCGTATAGGAATCCACAAAGAAACGATCCAATTGATCAAGATGCACAATGAGGATCGTATCCATACGATTTTGCACTTCTCGACAAATCTAATCTGTTTCGTTATTCTAAGTGGTTATTCTATTTTGGGTAATGAAGAACTTGTTATTCTTAACTCTTGGGTTCAAGAATTCCTATATAATTTAAGCGACACAATAAAAGCTTTTTCTATTCTTTTATTAACTGAGTTCTGTGTCGGATTCCATTCGCACCACGGTTGGGAACTAATGATTGGCTATATCTACAAAGATTTTGGATTTGCTCATAATGATCAAATTATATCTGTTCTTGCTTGTACCCTTCCAGTCATTCTAGATACAATTTTTAAATATTCGATCTTTCGTTATTTAAATCATGTATCGCCGTCACTTGTAGTTATTTATCATTCACTGACTGACTGAAAAATGATTCACGGATTCAATTAGAATCTTTCTTACTTTGTATATAAGCAAAGAATGCAAAGTCGTACTTACTTTACTCTTTCTACCCATCAGGGGAATACAATTCCTCCTCTATTTCAGTAAATTTTTTTTTTTTTCAGTAAAAGTAAATAGCAGAATCGTGGATAGGGAACTATACTAGTGACCTACCTAATTTTATTGTAGAAATTTTCGGGATCAATGATTGTACCATGCAAACTAGAAATACTTTTTCTTGGATAAAGGAGGAGATTACTCGATCCATTTCCGTATCGCTCATGATCTATATAATAACCGGGGCATCCATTTCAAATGCATATCCCATTTTTGCGCAGCAGGGGTATGAAAATCCACGAGAAGCAACTGGGCGTATTGTATGTGCCAATTGCCATTTAGCTAATAAACCCGTGGATATTGAGGTTCCACAAGCGGTACTTCCTGATACTGTATTTGAAGCGGTTGTTAGAATTCCTTATGATATGCAACTGAAACAAGTTCTTGCTAATGGTAAGAAAGGGGCTTTGAATGTGGGTGCTGTTCTTATTTTACCGGAGGGGTTTGAGTTAGCCCCACCTGATCGTATTTCGCCCGAGATGAAAGAAAAGATAGGCAATCTGTCTTTTCAGAACTACCGCCCCACTCAGAAAAATATTCTTGTGATAGGTCCTGTTCCTGGTCAAAAATATAGTGAAATCACCTTTCCTATTCTTTCCCCAGACCCTGCTAGTAATAAGGATGTTCATTTCTTAAAATATCCCATATACGTAGGCGGAAATAGGGGAAGGGGTCAGATTTATCCCGACGGGAACAAAAGTAACAATACAATTTATAATGCTACGGCAACAGGTATAGTAAGCAAAATCATACGAAAAGAAAAAGGGGGGTACGAAATAACCATAACGGATGCATTGGATGGACATCAAGTGGTTGATATTATCCCCCCAGGACCAGAACTTCTTGTTTCAGAGGGTGAATCTATCAAACTTGATCAACCATTAACAAGTAATCCTAATGTGGGTGGATTTGGTCAGGGGGATGCAGAAATAGTACTTCAAGATCCACTACGTGTCCAAGGCCTTTTGTTCTTCTTGGCATCTATTGTTTTTGCACAAATCTTTTTGGTTCTTAAAAAGAAACAATTTGAAAAGGTTCAAGTGTCCGAAATGAATTTCTAGATCCGTGGATTTATCAACATCAAATTTGTAAAAAAGAACAAATTCTTCCTGGCAATTAGGTTAGGTATGATGAAAAAAGTATGAAAAGTCTTTTGCTTGTTTATATTCTTTCTCTAGGAATTACTTTTACCGCATTCAAAATCTGTATATTGTGAAGAAGACTATTTGTCTTTACCCCTTCTTTTCTTTTTTCAATCTAAATGGGAGGGGTGTAATTATATCCCTATTGTCAGATTGAAATGTCACAGAATGGGTTTTGTTTTCTAAATTCAATTTGATTAGATACTAAACATAAGATAAGTAAGCGGAGAATAGAAAGGAAGGATAAATGAGGGGAACAAATAATTACAGGGAGTATTCTTCGTCTTCCTAGCCTTCGGCACAAGAAAAGGATGTGTAAAATTCCTTTTCTTGTGTCGAAATAATAACAATTCCGGATCCCATTCGTCAAAGATTTCTATTCTTAGTTTATATTTTTCCAGATTTTTCAGAACCCTTTATTTTTTTAGATTTACTTATAATAGATAATAGATTATAATAGATAATAGAATAAGTAATAAAGTAATCGAATAAGTAATAAGGATAATATAATAAGTATAAAATAAGTATAAATAAGTATAAAATAAGTATAAGTATAAATAAGTATAATATAATATAATAAGTAATGGACAACCAAAAAAAAGAGAAGGAATCCTTTTTTTTATAAATATAAAATAGAAGCAAGGCGATGAACTTATAAAAAAATTTCAAACTTTGATGAAATACTAAAATAAATAGAGTAAGGTTAGACTAGTCTAGAAAGGGTTTGCTTGATATCTGGTCGACAGAAAAAAAAAAGAAATATTAAAATTAAATATTAA